TGGGGGAGGGCAGCGCTGCCTTCGTGGACCTGGGGGAGGGCAGCGCTGTCTTCATAAGTCTGGGGAAGTTTAAGCTGTACATATTTATCCAGCCATCAGCTCGCTAGTATAAGCCGGACAATATTGGAGTGAGAACCTTTGTGGCGAGGAACCGTGAGTTGGTTTATGAGGCTTTTGACTCTGGTGGCGAGGACCCTCTAGGTCCAGAGGGCCCCCTGGAGGCTCTGTTTGGTCCCACAAGAGAGGGACCAGATGCTGGGGAGTGTTGTGGTCCCCTGGAGGCTCTGTTTGGTCCCACAAGAGAGGGACCAGATGCTGGGAGTGTTGTGGTCCCCTGGAGGCTCTGTCTGGTCCCACAAGAGAGGGACCAGAGGCTGGGGAGTGTTGTGGTCCCCTAGAAGCTCTGTCTGGTCCCACAAGAGAGGGACCAGAGGCTGGGGAGTGTTGTGGCCCCCTGGAGGCTCTGTCTGGTCCCACAAGAGAGGGACCAGATGCTGGGGAGTGTTGTGGTCCCTCTGGAGGTCCTCATTTATGTCTCATGAGTTGGAAAAGGTGAGAGAGCGGGTGACGGAGGCTCGTAAGGTCTTCAGCAGCGACACACCAGCTGGCGAGGAGAGTGCCTCGAGGCGGCCAGATAATATCCGGAGAGCCGCTGGATTAAGGTGGTGACCCTCTCCAGAAGGTTTACTGGTGCTCGCGGCAGTTTTACTCCGGTTTAAGTGAAGGTTTAAGGCGAGGTAAGTTTTATGTGACATTGAGCGCTCCTCACAGCCGGGGAGAAAGTGGAGGACACTCGCAGCATCTCATCATCGCCAGATGAGATGAAGATGACACGGAAGATGATAGTGAGCAAGAAGCAGGAGCCTGTTGCGTGATGTCTACTCATTTCAGTTAATTTCTTGAAGTTACCTGTTCTTGGGGAGTCCCCATACTCACCCTTCCTCCCTCACCCAACATGCCCAATCACCTTCACCCGTCAGCATGTCTGGCGTCACACGGGTGCAGGCCGGAAAATGACCAGGAACCGGACATGGTGTCGACTTGTTCCATAAACCTGCGTTTTCATTAGGAAAATACATGCTATCTGGCACTTGTTAAATAACTGATGGCCACCCCACACAGCTGTGATGGCCACCCCCACACAGCTGTGATGGCCACCCCCACACAGCTGTGATGGCCACCCCCACACAGCAGCTGTGATGGCCACCCCCACACAGCTGTGATAGCCACCACCCCCACACAGCAACTGTGATAGCCACCCCCCACACAGCAACTGTGATAGCCTGCTCAGCTCACCACACAAACTTATACACATCAAAATAGTGTATTATCATCTTGCCTGGGCTGTCATGGCGCCTATTGAGGCCATAGTTAATGCTGGGAATAGCACTAGAGCCATATTTATTGCCCGGATATTATCTGCCTCTTGCCAGCTTGTTGTGGTGTGGGGCTTACGACCTCTCAAGGGGGTATTAGGCCACCACAAGAGCTTACTAACCAAGCATTTATGCTCGTCTCTAACGAAACCTGTACATCTTTGCTCAATCATGGCGGCTTTATTGGTATTTATGAAACATTTTATGAACTCTGAAGTACAGTGAAGTGCTTTGTAACTTCGGTGAAAAGGTTTCGAGTCACACAAGTGGTGTAATAAGACCAGACTCAGATGGAAGATGTACAGGTTTCGTAATGCGACACGTAAATACCTGATGAGTCCTGACCCTGGCTGGACTAGATTGACTGATTGATGAAGATTGATGCCACAACAATGGGTGGCACGGGCATGAATAGCCCAAAGGTGGTAGATATTTTGAAGTGAATGAGATCTTTGGTCGTGAATACCTGGACTAGAATGTTGTTGTTTTAGGTTCAGCCACATGGAACAAAATGTTGCAAGTAGCACGGGCTATGGTGAGCCCGTAGTGGACTTACCTGGCACAGGAGCGAGGCTGTTACGGCTGGATTAGACTTATTGATTGAAGAAGATTAAGCCGACACGCCCCTGGAACATTATCTAACACAGTGCACAGTTACAAACCCAATACAAATTTCAACTTAGATTCAACAGAGTAGAAGAAGTTGTTAAACACATGAGACAAAATCTTACTGAAGCGACCATACGAGTCATAAATACTCATACTCCGCCCAAGTAAAACAGAAACAAGCAACACTTAATGGGCCAGCCAGAGGCTTGGGGCCCGCGCAGGAATATCCCTGCAAAAAAAAAAAAAAAAATCACGGGCATGAATAGCCCGTAATCTGGATAAGAAAAAACTGAGTGTATATACTCTAGCAGGTGAGATACACCATGGGTTACGGTACACCATGAAGCCCGGTACACCAAGGGGGGGGGTTCACCAGGTGGGGGGAGGGGTTACCAGGGGGGGGGAAGGGGACACATGCAGGCGGAGCCATTTATCATTCAAGGAGAGAGTCTGTATGTTATTCACCTAAGAACTCTGTCAAAATACTCTACGTATAAAATACCTAATTCTAGACTTCATGTAAAAATACGTCAGTCAATATTTCTTAAAAGGAAAGAGGGTACTGGAGCCGACACCGACCAGCCTATCACAGTCACCCACCACCTATGTCTCATCTTGCAAAGTTGGGTGAAATACAACGAGACAGAAAAAAATTATTTCCTAGATTATGATTTAAATGAAATCAACACAATTGTCAATGCAAGAAATACAGAAGCAAAATAAAGTGACCACCCCTTAAGTAAGTTTCCGTTTTCTTTATCCAATACACACACTAAAAACTACTCAGGCTGTGCAATTAATTATATTGTATAACAATAGTTTAATTGTGGAGGTAATTAGCAGAGTCGTTCAGGCGTCAGAGATAACAGCATCACTCCCTCAGATGTGATCTCTGTGAGGCTCCATCACAGTGCAAAGTCAATACGTTATTGCTCAAAGTGAAGCCTCCAGTAATGGTAGTGGTGGTTGTGAAGCCTCCAGTAATGGTAGTGGTGGTTGTGAAGCCTCCAGTAATGGTAGTGGTTGTTGTGAAGCCTCCAGTAATGGTAGTGGTGGTTGTGAAGCCTCCAGTAATGGTACTGGTGGTTGTGAAGCCTCCAGACACTATTATTCATTATTACAGTACAATTATTGAGAAAAATCAGTAGGAACCTTAAGGAGGAGGATTCGAACTCTGACACTCACTACTCCCAAGCTAGCACCCTAGAACACCAAGTGAGCTCAGGTTCGAATCCTCCCCACGGCTCCTACTGATTGTCTCATTGATACATTACGTTAATGTGATGTCACTGTGTGTTGTTTTAATAGCCCAGAGCCATCACAGTCAGGCTGATCCGCTAACTGTTGCTCAAACCTCTCCAGTTGTCTCTTGAAAGCTTCAGTTAATTGTTAGTAGTTGATTGATAGGTCGTGGGCCGCTTACACTGTGTTCTCTAACTGCTTATTAGAACAGAACTTTTTCCTGGGATATAAGAACATAAGAATGAAGGTAACTGCAGTAGAACTATTGGCCCATACGAGGCAGCTCCTATTTATAGCCACCCAATCTCATTGATATATATGTCTAACCTACGTTTGAAACAATCAAGGGATCCTACGTCTATTATTTTACGCGGTAATTGGTTCCACAAATCAACAATTCTGTTACCGAACCAGTATTTACCCAGGACTTTCCTAAATCTAATCTTATCCAATTTATACCCGTTGTTTCGTGTTCTGTCTTGAATTGATACTTTTAATACCTTATTTAATACCCGTATGTCTTAGAGTTCCCACCATGTCTCACGCTCCAGATATGTTGCAATTGAACTGTGCAGGTTCGGAACCCGATCATCCAGTATTTATCACGTGTAAATTACGAGATAATTCGTTATTTATCACGTGTAAATTACGAGATAATTCGTTATTTATCACGTGTAAATTACGAGATAATTCGTTATTTATCACGTGTAAATTACGAGATAATTCGTTATTTATCACGTGTAAATTACGAGATAATTCGTTATTTATCACGTGTAAATTACGAGATAATTCGTTATTTATCACGTGTAAATTACGAGATAATTCGTTATTTATCACGTGTAAATTACGAGATAATTCGTTATTTATCACGTGTTAATTACAAGATAATTCGTTATTTATCACGTGTAAATTACGAGATAATTCGTTATTTATCACGTGTAAATTACGAGATAATTCGAACACTCCGTGTTCTTTACAAGAAGTACAGTTTAATTGCTTGTCGAGTGGTTCCAATTGTTCAAGTGCTTCACAACATGTTTCTACCCCGTGAATCTTCTTGCTGCCGCGTTCAGAAATATTTGGGCGAGGATTTTCCACAAAGCCATTTCCTTGTTTTTCACTCCATCTATATCGTTCTGTGTCTCACTCGTAAATATCTGGGTATTACAGGTCACGGTTTTCCTTTCAAGCGAAGTTTTTACACGCGTCTGGGCGGAAGGGGGGCATCGCCACGATTTCCAAAACGCCAGTTTTCCCTTTTCCTGTATAAATTTTAAGCATTTCCCGGGATGTAACTGCATATTCCCCCGCGTCCTGCATGTTAGCAGGGATCCGTGTTTACATATGTATGCTTGCTTGGTGGCTCACACTCTGCTGCGTCCTGTCATGTTGCTGACGTTCCTGCTTGATCTGTCAGTCATGTTGACTCTCCTGTTTGATCTGTCAGTCATGTTGACTCTACTGTTTGATCTGTCAGTCATGTTGACTCTTCTGTTTGATCTGTCAGTCATGTTGTCTCTTCTGTTTGATCTGTCAGTCATGTTGACTCTTCTGTTTGATCTGTCAGTCATGTTGACTCTTCTGTTTGATCTGTCAGTCATGTTGACTCTTCTGTTTGATCTGTCAGTCATGTTGTCTCCTCTGTTTGATCTGTCAGTCATGTTGACTCTTCTGTTTGATCTGTCAGTCATGTTGACTCTACTGTTTGATCTGTCAGTCATGTTGACTCTTCTGTTTGATCTGTCAGTCATGTTGACTCTTCTGTTTGATCTGTCAAGTCATGTTGACTCTCCTGTTTGATCTGTTAGTTATGGTGACTCTACTGTTTGATCTGTCAGTCATGTTGACTCTTCTGTTTGATCTGTCAGTCATGTTAACTCTACTGTTTGATCTGTCAGTCATGTTGTCTCTTCTGTTTGATCTGTCAGTCATGGTGACTCTACTGTTTGATCTGTCAGTCATGTTGACTCTTCTGTTTGATCTGTCAGTCATGTTGACTCTTCTGTTTGATCTGTCAGTCATGTTGACTCTTCTGTTTGATCTGTCAGTCATGTTGACTCTTCTGTTTGATCTGTCAGTCATGGTGACTCTTCTGTTTGATCTGTCAGTCATGTTGACTCTTCTGTTTGATCCGTCAGTCATGTTGACTCTTCTGTTTGATCTGTCAGTCATGTTGACTCTACTGTTTGATCTGTCAGTCGCGTTAACTCTACTGTTTGATCTATCATATATTCTATCCTGCTAGAAGTTAAATTATATATGAAAGAGTCCACTGTCTTACAATCTCTGGGCGTCTCCCACAATTCTTAGACTCCAAGCCTTCCCTACCCCCTATCCAATGCCCTCCCAGCGGCGCCCCATCACAAACACCCATTAAATGCTGCTTAATGACTCGTAATGGTGGTAGGAGCTGTTAAACTCTCCGGTAAAGCAACTAAGAACAAAGTTCTGTGTGTGTGGGACTCTCCTAGTCTGGATAATACAGCTGGTGGCACTGATAGATAGGGTGGCACTGTTACACTGAGCGAGGGTAACAGTGCCTTATTAATGGCAAACAACCCATCTGGTCTAAGACAGTGCCACACCTGATCGGCGACAGTACCATCATCTGTTCTAAGACAGTGTTCCATTTCGTTTAAGACAGTGCCCCATCTGACCTAAGACAGTGCCCCCATCTGCTCTAAGACAGTGCCCTATCTGACCTAAGACAGTGCCCCATCTGACCTAAGACAGTGCCCCATCTGACCTAAGACAGTGCCCCATCTGACCTAAGACAGTGCCCCATCTGACCTAAGACAGTGCCCCATCTGACCTAAGACAGTGCCCCATCTGACCTAAGACAGTGCCCCATCTGACCTAAGACAGTGCCCCATCTGACCTAAGACAGTGCCCCATCTGACCTAAGACAGTGCCCCATCTGACCTAAGACAGTGCCCCATCTGACCTAAGACAGTGCCCCATCTGACCTAAGACAGTGCCCCATCTGACCTAAGACAGTGCCCCATCTGACCTAAGACAGTGCCCCATCTGACCTAAGACAGTGCCCCATCTGACCTAAGACAGTGCCCCATCTGACCTAAGACAGTGCCCCATCTGACCTAAGACAGTGCCCCATCTGACCTAAGACAGTGCCCCATCTGACCTAAGACAGTGCCCCATCTGACCTAAGACAGTGCCCCATCTGACCTAAGACAGTGCCCTATCTGACCTAAGACAGTGCCCCATCTGACCTAAGACAGTGCCCCATCTGACCTAAGACAGTGCCCTATCTGACCTAAGACAGTGCCCCATCTGACCTAAGACAGTGCCCCATCTGACCTAAGACAGTGCCCCATCTGACCTAAGACAGTGCCCCATCTGACCTAAGACAGTGCCCCATCTGACCTAAGACAGTGCCCCATCTGACCTAAGACAGTGCCCCATCTGACCTAAGACAGTGCCCCATCTGACCTCAGACAGTGCCCCATCTGACCTAAGAAAGTAAGTAATTATCAAAAGAAGGCACCAAGCCGGGAAGGCTATGTAGCACCACCAAATGTGCGGAATAATCAGAGGGCGCTAAATATCACCAAGGATGCCAATACGAGAACAGAAACGCATAAGACGAACCATATCAAAAGTATCCGAGTCACCAAGAATTCTATGGAGGGACAAGTGACCGTGAGGGGCGGTCGGGAAGCAAGACACACGCTCGTCCTTGGAAGTCAGGACATTCAACAAGGATATGCACGATCTTAAGAGGGACAATACAATTTGGACAATAAGGAGCAGGGCGGCGCGCTCCATTAGGTGACGGTGAATTAGGCGTGTATGGCCAATACGTAACCTAGCCAGAGCCGTTTCCCATCGCCGGTTACGGTGGTAGGAGGAACGAGGACACACTTCCCTGAAGAGTACGCAGTTTGTTACCAGTAACAGAAGACTAACAATCCTGCTATCGGGTAAGGATGGAGGAATGAATAACTGGGTAAAATTCGGAATAAGGAATACCTTATTCAACTGACTTAAATTTATTGGAAATAAGAAACAGCTGACCTAAGACAGTGCACCATCTTGTAAAGTATCGGAAATGAAATGGAAAGAAATGAAAAAATAAGGAGTGGGCCGGAGGTAAGGGAGTAGAGAGGTGTGAGGGAGGTAGAGAGGTGTGAGGGAGGTAGAGAGGTGTGAGGCAGGTAGAGATGTGTGAGGGAGGTAGAGAGGTGTGAGGGAGGTAGAGAGGTGTGAGGCAGGTAGAGAGGTGTGAGGCAGGTAGAGAGGTGTGAGGGAGGTAGAGAGGTGTGAGGGAGGTAGAGATGTGTGAGGGAGGTAGAGAGGTGTGAGGGAGGTAGAGAGGTGTGAGGGAGGTAGAGAGGTGTGAGGGAGGTAGAGAGGTGTGAGGGAGGTAGAGAGGTGTGAGGGAGGTAGAGAGGTGTGAGGGAGATGTGAGGAAGGAGTGGTCAGGGAAAAGTGAGAGTTAGGATGAGAGGGAGAGGCTGACAACAAGGAGGAGATCAGAAGAGCAGAAAGTAATAGTGCTAGAATAGTAGAAAGATAGAAAGGTTAAAGAATGAAAGTTGCTGCCACCATCCATTCAAGTTAGTTAACTATAAGACAAGGAATGGAACTTGTCTGTACTTTAAGCTGTTATCTAATGTTAACATGTATCAACTGGAACCATGTCCTTGTGCATGCAAGAATCTTTAAGTCAGTAAGCTCACAGGGCTCCCCACTCTAGCTTTCAAAATAAGAAGATTTAGGGAACAGCATTAGTCAATCAAAAATGTACTTAACATTAGATCTTCACTTATATGGATGTCATAATTCAAACAGTTAAACTTTATGTTCACTATGTCAAGATTAATATACAAGGTGAGTCACCACACAAGAATGTGAGGACACTACAGGGCTGACTGCCCCTGAAAATCATACAACACCTTAAGTTGGAAACACACCAAATTTGTGACCTTAAAGTTCAACTCACCAAAGTCTTTGAGCCTAAGTTTGGTAGAGAAGGCGGGGGGGGGGGGCTACGATTGACAGATTGAGTGACCCCTCTGGCCTAGGGAAGCCAGTCTGGTGGCTGGAACCACTTGACAAGCGATCTCTCTCTCTCATTCCTGCTCAATGTCAGTCCATCTCTCCAAATGTACAGTTCCCTGGGTATTTATGGGGAATCCGGGAGCTAAGTCCCGTCAACCAGTAAGATAGCCTCAGGCTCTCTACCTAAAGTCGTAGACAGCGGCTCGTTTGATGGAAAGACACCACCGACCGTCTGCAATTATCGGCTTGTCAGAAAGCAAGGCTAATTCACACGATCTGACCTGTTGCAATCAATACTCTAGAGGTATGACTTAATTGCTAAGGCCAGACAATCTGGCGCCTTCAAATATCCAGTATGACTGACTCTTGTTCTATGTGAAATATTAACTAAACACCCTCTTATGGTGTTACAATCTGACCTAAGACAGTGCACCATCTGACTTAAAACAGTGCCCCATCTGACCTAAGACTGTGCCCCACCTCATCTGAGACAGTGTCCCATCAAGGATAGTGCCCTACTAAAAACCGTGCTTCACTGATCAGACAGTGCCCCTATCAAACACAGTGCCACGTTACAGACAGTGCCCTTTCGGAGGCAGTGCTTCAAACTAGACAATGGCCATTCAGAGACAGTACCTCAATTAAAGACTGCGTAAGGTACAGTATCCAAAGTAAGGTACTGTGCCCCATCACTGGCCGCGGCCCATCGACGGCAGTGCCCCATCAATGACAGTGCCCCATCAATGACAGTGCCCCATCTAAAACAGTGCACCATCAGAGAGAGAGAATGCCCCATCACGAATCGAGCCCCAGCTGATCTAAAACAGTGCCTCATGTTATTAAACACAGACCCCCGCATCAAAGTGTCTCATCTCATCTAAAACAGTGTCCGCATCAAAAGATAAAAGATAGTGCCAGTCTAAGACAGTGTCCCATCAATCATAGTGTCCCCTCAAGGAGTGTACTTCACCAAAGACAAGGCCCAATCTAAGACATTGCCCAACCTGATCACAGAAAACGGGACATGAACAACTGAGCGACAGTGTTGCCACACCAGGCAGACGACCTTCTCGGCCTGCAAGGACAGTGCCAAACTTTCCTCATCTTCTCAAGAGCATCGCAAAATCACTCTCCTGAGGAAAGGCCGTTCGTGCTTGCTGAGAGAGAATTCAGAAAAACCAAATACATGATCTCAGGGTGGAGGAAATAGCGCTCAGTCGTGAGCTCGTTGTTGTGTGTTGAGAGAGAGTACTTTTTGTTGAGCTCCTGGTGCTTGTGTTGGTGTAAATGTCGGCCACACGTGTGAGGGAGAGAGCTGGGGTGTGAGGGAGAGAGCTGGGGTGTGAGGGAGAGAGCTGAGGTGTGAGGGAGAGATGTGATGGAGGAGTAAAAGAATTTAGAGGCTGACTGCCACATAGTACACAGTATTAAGACAGTATTAAACCGCCTCGTTAGAATTATATTCATAATTACTAGTTCCGTATTTGACGTTTGGTCAAGTCTGGTCACCGACGCTAACAGTCCAGGAACATAACTGCCATTAGAGGTCAGAGTCTCCACCGTACAGTAGTAATGTGGATTGACGTTTTCGCCTGAAGGTGGTGTGGGTGTCTCTACCCTTCCTGCTGTTCCTGGTGGTGGGGACGTGGCGTGTTTTGTGATGGGCGGCCTTATTCCCGCTGTCGTGCGGTTAAACTCCGTCGGATTGGAGTTTACTGGCCGTGCTGGTTACCCGCTGGTGGACGTGGTGTTGAGTGACATGCTTCGTGTCCCGGTTGGGGACGTATATGGCATTGAGCTGGTAACTGCTCACCGTGTTGTTATCAAGTTTGTGGGTGAGGCGGTGTACCGTGCTTTCTTACGGAGGTACGAGGGACGTACGTTGCAGTTACAGGACGGCACCGGGTCTGTGACCATTTCAGACCGTAGTGGTGCTGTGATATATGTCAGTGTTCATGGCGCCCCCATGGAGTTTCCTGAGACTCTCCTCCGGCGATTCTTCCAGAGGTACGGCTCCGGAGTCAGTGTGCGGATGAACTCACTGTCGTCTGGCACGTATTCGGGTGTGAAGACAAACGTTCGGACCCTCGGGATGCGACTGAGGTCGGACATACCGTGCTCTGTCCGGCTGTTGGGGTACTACGTGCGTG